AATGTATGTCAATGGGATCTCTGGTTGACGTTGGTGCAGCAATCGTTTGGAGGGGTCCAATGGTATCATGTTACACTGTTGTATCACTTGGCATTTTAGATTGGTTTGCTGTATCTCTTTTTTTTTTTGGGGGGGGGGGGTTAATTTTCTGTACTTTTCCTTTTTTAGTTTTTCCCCTTTGCAATTTTTGCTGCACTTTTTTTGGCTTCCTTGTGTTGTTCACTTATTCATCGGTTATATTCTGTTTTACGTTAATTGAAGCCTATTTATTTTCTTCCTCAGAATTGCTATTTATACTGGAGGTGAATTTCTGATTTCTTCTGCCTATCTGTTTACACTGATTTGGTTACAGTTACATCCTTTAAGAATCTTAATATTTTCATCAGTTTCATGCTTACTCTTGCAGGTTATGAAAGCTCTTGAACAGATGACAAGGGGAGTTAACTGGGGAACCTTGGATGTTCTTGTGGTTGATATGCCCCCTGGTACTGGTGATGCTCAGATATCTATTTCCCAGAGGCTGCAACTGTCAGGTACCTAACAAGTTTGTTGGAAGTTGGTCTTACATTTTTGTAGTATGCTGGAATAGCAAGAGATTGAAGGATGTCGAAATGAAGCCTGTTGCAGCTCAGGCTAGAATAATGCTGGGTTTGTAAGTTTTGAATAACATAATCTCAATTGCTGCTCGTTCATCTCAGTATAATAAAGCTTCCTTTTTGTAATACCCGTTGAGCAAATTTAACTTTCAAATACATATTTCCAGTATGCTGCTTTCTAGTCAAATATGTTAAGCTTCGTCAGCATTACTTCTTCCTTACCCAGTATGGATATTCTGGCAGTAACTATAGGCACTTAAAATGAGAACCATGCTCTTTCAGCATGTGTCTTTCAGGAGAACTTTTCCTTGCAAATTCCACTTTTCAGATGATGGAGCATTTGAAGTCAATTCTATGCTTAATCTGAATTCGATTTTTTTTTTTGGGGGGGGGGGGGTTTGCTTTGATAATTTTGAAATGTACCTGTATTCCTTGATAATCTGGAACTACTTTGTTCTGTTTGCAGGAGCAGTAATTGTTTCAACTCCTCAAGATGTTGCACTACTGGATGCTCGAAGAGGGGTGAAAATGTTCTCTCAAGTCAATGTACCAGTATGATCTTTTTTTGAGCAAATTGTATTCCCATAAAAGTTTTTATGCTTTGAGTGTGTTTACGATAGCACATAGGTTCACAATTGAATGCTATCTAAAGACCAGAGTCAATAACATTCCAGGTTCAACATACCTGGTTTTCAATCTTTTGATCTGTATGCTTGTGCATGTCAATTCATGGTTGAGTTTTGGATCAGATTATTAGAGTTTTGCTTCTCCTCAGAAAACAGGGCATGATGGGAGAATTAACAAATACAGAAGGACTAGTTTCTGCAATCAAAAGCTATTGGCACGCACGCACACACACACTATATTTCTTTTGTCCCAGATGCTGTTCACTGCTAACTGTTTAAAACCTTGTTCTCATCTCACAGATCCTTGGACTCTTGGAGAACATGAGCTATTTTAAATGTCCCAAATGCGGAGAACCTTCGGATATTTTTGGTAAGGGAGGGGCGCGCAAAACAGCAGAGGAAATGGGTGTGCAGTTTCTGGGGGAGGTAATTGGATGTTTTTTGTGTCGCTTGTTAGGGTGTTCGGATAGTTTTGCAGGTCACCCTCCTATAAGCATGTTGTTTAATCGTTTCAGAATAATATAACAAGTGTTATCCCTGTTCTGTCTTGGGCACTGAAATTAGGACTTCCTGTACCTGTTGGATGAAAAATTGTAAGTTTGATCATATAGATAGCTGAACAATTTCCTCTGCCAATCATTGTTTATGGCCCAACCACCTAGTCTACAAGTAAAACACGCTCTGTCGTTACTTCAATAAGGTTCTTTTTGTGTTGGAGAGGTAGGTTAGTGTTTGATTCCCAGAATTTTTGTACTACTGGCTAATTTGTTGAACCGTCGCTATCTGATATATGGTAGCTGGTGATATCTTGACCTGCTTCTAATTCTCTCCGTCCTCTTTTTTTTTGGCACTAAATATCCTCCTCCTTTGCTTCTCCTTGAGGCTGCATATTTTTCATGAGATTCTTTTCAAACTACAAACATTTTGCTTAATTAATGCTCTAATCTGTTGTATTTCATCTTTATAGGTGCCGTTGGAGGTTGGCATCAGAAGCAGTTCTGATGAAGGTGTTCCTATTGTAGTATCAGACCCTGAATCTGTAGTCTCGCATGCGTACGGTGATGTGGCCGAGAAAGTTGCCAATATACTTGACGAATTGGCCAAGGAGCAGCAATTCCGACCAGAGATAGTACTGTAGAGGTCGCAGTGAGCTGCTGTTTAACATCAACTTTGTGCTTTTTGACAGCTTTTGAGATGGGAACATCGGGTGGTGGTGAAAGCCGGACTTGGGAATGGGCCGCTGCTGTTGTGGTTAATTATCTCAGGGAAGAAGAAACTGAAACATGTATAATCCCGTCAAAGGTGTGGTTGTATTATGCATTTGCTGCAGCTGCTTGAAAGTGCAGCTTATTATTGCAAGGTTGCTGCAAGTCTCGGGCGGGCAAAATGGTGATACGGCCTTTAAGTTCTCTTTCAACTCATTTTGTTTGATCTTCTTCACGTCGTTTTGCTTAACATTTTGTCAAATAAATGCAAGACACACTACTGAGATGAATAGAATCGCGAGTACATAAATGTGAAATAGCCAGCCTTCCAAACTTTTCTCGGATAAACAAGAAGCTTTGGATCAATTAGTACACATCTCTTTGACTCGTCCGGTCATTTTAGCAGATCCCTCAAAAGTTAATACTAATAATATGCGCCTTTTTGCTTTATTTGAATAAATACTAATAAAGAAATGAGGGATGGAGACCTAAAATGCCAGTGGGATGGATGATCGTTCCCGGGAATATAATAAATTCAACAAGGATGGTCAAAAGGAGTTTTAGGTTCGTTTCTTCAACTAGGAGAGGGCTTATAATCACACCATCCGCCCTCCGTGACACTTTGGCATTTTTTATTCAATCTTCTTAGCCAAGCCTATATATAATATAATATTGACTAAGAATTGAAAAGAGGAAAGGCTAAAAGGTGGCTTGCTTGGATTGTTTGTTTTCGTCGGAAAATATTGTCGTTTTCCGTGATCACATTTCCCTATCACCTTTTTCCCTCACATATATCAAATCGCTACAGTAATTTTTTCATGAAAAATGATGAAAAATGCAATCCAAACATAACCTTAGGGAAAGGAGCGAAAAAAGGAATTTTTAGCAGGTTTTTTTTTTTTTTTTTGGAGATCAAGAATGTGTGAATGAATGGGATTTGTATTGGGTTGTCAAATTATCAACTTGAGTTATATGGACCCTTTCTTCCAATCTTCCCCCCCCCCCCAGCAGATGCGGTGTCCCGACTGGCTAAGATAAAGCTTATCGCCATATCGGTCACGAAACTTCCATGAGAGTGACCAGAGCTGAAGCATCGCAACAAGAGATCAACCGATTCTAATTCTGATTTTTCTTTCAGTTCTTGCTTCTTTTCTTTAGAAAAATCACGAACTTGATGGACAGCTGACCTGAGTTTCTTCTCTGAGCCAATATTTAACGCCCGCTTGACTTTCCAAATCAAAGGAAAGGGCGAACTGAATATGTCCCTGCTAATCCGAGTTGCATTTTCGAAAGCAGCCGCAGATTTGGCCTCTGGGAGAGATGGCAACAGATGCTGAGGATCGTACCCGAAAGCTATTCTGCAGATGTTATCAGATGCAAATCTCTCAAGTATGTCTTGGATATGATCTTGGGAGCCCAGAGCTGGACTTGCTTGTAAAAGTAATTTTGATCATCTTAATGTTCAACATTGTTTGTAAATTTAGTAGTACAAGAACAATGTGGATGGTTTATCTTGTTATATATGATTGGTTCTACACTGCGTTGCTGCATGCCGCAGCTAGCCGCTTATATATATATATATATATATATATATATATATAGCTGCATTTATATCATTGCCAGAATTGTCTACTTAATTTCACCAGTTTCCACTATTCTGGATTTCTTTCTTAGTTTTATATTAGCTAAAGTCTCCATTAGTCTTTCTTCGGGTCCCAACTTTCACTCCTTGGAACTTAACTCTGCCCTTGCGTCATTGCATGTGTAATACCTTGCAAACTTCGGACTCATGTGAAGTCATTTTTCTCTTGATCTTGGAGTCAATAATTCTAATGGTCAATTGTGCATTTTCAAGGTTGATTAAGATTCTTATTATTCTTGTTGCTATTAGAAAGTTTTTTACTCCGTTCATGTCAATCATAGGAGCAGGGAAAAGATTCAACTTCTGAATGCAGCACAATGCTGTACATCTGCATTAGATATGGCAAGGCCCTAACCTTTGGAACAATTTCAAGATAGCAACTGTTCAATTATAACTTCTAATCAACGGAATGTATACTGAATTCCTTATCGTACGGCAGAACTAAAATTACAAGTAGCATTTTTTCCTGAGAAATTAGTCCTTGCTATTTTTGGGGGAAAAAATTTTCACTGGTGTTGACCAGATTTCACTAATTCTTTGCCGGTCGGTTTTCTAAGTAAGCTTGGACCGGACACCCAACTGATTTTCAGTTCATCAGTTGAACCAGCCAGCATCTGCATGGACCGGACATCGTTCCATTCCTTCTCACTCGTACAATAATATGGCCTAATTTGTTAGTAAGCACCAGATCAGCTCTCATTTCTTGAGCAAACTCCAACATGATACCTACAGCTACTCTCAATGCATGTGCACATAAGCACACACGGAAGCACCAGTACTTGCATCGTATCAATCAATCTCTTTCTACCCCCACTGCCCAGAACAAAATCAAGACCACGATGAAGGCCACGGAGCAGACAAAGATCATTGTAGAATTTCGCGCATGGCATCCAGGTAACAAAAGGAAGCTAACAGTTGGAGCTTCTCAGAATGGAGAAACCAACACAATGTGCATTGAATGAATCAGCCCGACTTCAAAACTACTCCGAGGACTTTTCCGCATTTACATAGTGCCCGAACTTTGGGAGGCAATTAAAACCATATACACAGTAAAATTGATCAATATCCAAATTCTCTTTACATAGATCCCAACAAAATTTTCTAAAATCAAAGACATGATTAACCTGCTAAACTCACACTTCGATTCAGCTCAACGTGGAAAACAAAGCTTTATCCAGATTTCAGGAAAAACAAAACAAAATTGCAGTTGGGGATTTGCATTCGTTCAAATAAGACATTCCTGATCCCAGCTATCCCTCGCTTTAATAAAAATTTAGTTTGGCACTTTTGAACAAACCTTGTGTTTATGGCAGACAACCAGAATGCAACTGAAATCCTGTATGTCACGGATTCCAGCAATGATACTGATCATGTTTCTCTGTCCAGCTCCTGCAATTCTGCATGCATCTGGAAAACTTAGATTCTTGAAGATATCAAACTTTGTAACAAGAAGCATATAGAGCTAAAGGAATTTGCAGTAATATTTGTTCCAACAACCAGAGAAGTTCATAAAGGCAAAACATGCATATTAAAATCAGTTATCTTGCGACCAATTTGATAAAAGAAATGTAAAATCTCATCCATTCATTTTATATATATATAAAAGAATATATAATTCCAACAAATAATTGCATTCGAGTTCCAACAAAAATAGGAAATCTTGTAGGAAGTAGGAATAAACATCACGGACAATAAATTTTGAAAATTATCATCTTCTTGATTCCGATGCATCTCTTGAAAGTCAAACTATGACATTATAATGCAAAACCTTTCAATTTAGTAGCCAAAAATTTTTGAATGCCATGGTGTTTGTAACCCGATTTGTTGCCTAGAAAAGTAATAACGTGATGCACAATTTTTTTTTTGTGGGGTTAATTCGAGAATCTATCGCATAAATTAGACTCACTATCTTTGCTGAATAACTTATCCACTGACATATAAATTGATACTTGGAAACAGTAAAATATGTACTCACTGGCACATTGCAGGACAAAGTGGAGACAAGTAAACATTTGTTAGCCTAGCCAACCATCATGGCAGGGATGGTAGATTACACTTCAGGCCTATACATTAGTTAACCTAGCACTTATTATTAGCCAAGCATAATGCTTCATGCATAAAATATACTTTATCACTTACTTCGCAAGTGGGGCATAGCAACCTCAAGGGATGGATAGGCACCTTTTCTTGAACTCAATTTTACGTAGTTCTTGTAATTGATAAGCTATCTCCTGAATAAACTGCAATCCATCATTCCCATTCCGGAGTGAGTTCAAAGCATGCTTGATAATATCCCGGTCCATCTCAAGTGCTTCCAACCTGCTTTTAAGGTCAATAAATTCACTCTCAAAGGTATCTAATTTTCTTACACCTCCATTTGTGGATAAATTTTCCTGGCTAACATCCAGATAATCACTTTCTTCACAAAGAAGTTGATTTTCTTGAACTAATTTAGCAGACACATCCCCCCCAGAGATTCCATTTGGTGCACACAAATCATTATGCAATGACAATGCACACTCTCCTTTTTGATGGCTTATCTGAGTTTGAGTATCATAAGGCAGCTTCTCATCATCCTCAACCCTTTTGGTTGCATGTTCAGCAAATTCGCCATTTGCCAAGTTTATATGCACCCAATTACTAGAAATATGATGAAACTTCTTCTCTAACTTTTCCAGACACAGCGAAATATATAGTTTTTCATCCTCAAAATCCAGCTCTGAGTTACTTAACTGTCTAGGTTTATCACTTCCTTTCAATGCATTGTCAGATTTTGAATCATCAGTGGCAATGTCGCCATTTTCAACGGGAAGCAGATGATATTTCTCACCTGTCTTGCTTTCTGCTTTAGCATTGCTGGTTTCATTACAGTGATAATCTATCTCAGGTCCTTCTAAAATATTATTCCTATATATCTCTACTTCAGCTTCCAAATCTTGCACCTCTTTCTCTCTTTCAGCAAGAAGATCATTAGCCTTTTCCAGTGCCTCCATATCATATTCTGCCTGCTCCTCCATCATTCTTAAGTACTGCAAGGCTTCCATATGTAGTGCTGCCTTTTCCTCTTGCAATCTTGTGATCATGGCCATTGCCTGGTTTGCAGCTATTGCAGCAGCATTTCTTTCTTCTTCCAATTCCTTAAACATAGCTTTCATGCATCTCCTGTCATAGTCAACCTGTCGTTTTAACCTTTCAAGAAGAGTTTCACCCTCAATTTCTTTGACACTGATTCCATCCAGAGATTCATGATCAGAATCATGTCTTTCCAATGCAGCAGCCATTTGAACCGTATCTATTGCATCAGAGCCCAAAGCATCACTTTTTAGGAGGGCATCACAATGAGCTCTGGGACTTCTGTCTTTTGGTGATAGGTCCACATTCGACGAAGATATTTGTGAAGGTGATCTCAGAGCTTCTTCTACTCTTCCAGAATCATTGGTTTTATGTGGCTCTGCAAGGACATCAGGTTCCGGTTTTTGTTTATTAGTAGAAGCTGATTTGTTGGCTGAGTTGACATTCCTGGACATTGTAGGATTACAATCATCTGTAAATCCTGCTCCTATTTTGTGCTTAGCAAGTGAGCTGTTCCCATTCACACTGCAGCCTGTTGCCTCTGCCGCTGTAAGCCATTGGCCAGATCAGAGATAAGCCAAATGCAACAAGATAAATGCATTGAGCAAACTGATTTTAGAGTATCATCAGGAGCTATTCAGAATGAAAGTGCAAAACACTCACCCACCCCCCCCCCCAAAACAAAAACACACTCCATGCTGGTGCACAGACAGACGCAGGCGCATGCACAACCACACTGAGAGAGAGAGAGAGAGATAACTTCCACTTACACTTCTCAGAAATTTTCACGACATTGGATGATGAAAGAACACTGTTAAGTGAAAGAAGCTCGGAGAGTATAGACAGGTCGGAAGGTTGTGGGAAAGCAGCAATTGGCTTGTCCGTCTCTACTGACTGGGGAATATCATCCAATGAAACAAGCTCTGGCAATGCAGCAGAAGTAGTAGGCTTTGGATTGGATTGTATCCAATTAAGTTCTTCCAAACCATGCTTCATAAAAGCACCTGATTCCAAGTGACCAACATGGTTGGCCTCACTTGATTCAAGCTGCACGGGTTGATCAAGAAGTGAAGGCAATGGTTCAGGAGTTTGGCAATTCTGGTTTACTGGAATTGAATCACCTGCTAGTGCCTTAGGCACTTTTCTTGTAACCAATTGGATGTTAGATTCTGCCCCAAAATTATTGTTTCCATGAGATGTTGAAGTTGCATCGTCATCATCAGAAAATGGGACCTCTGACTCTGAATCAGAAGTAATCTTCAACTCTGTGTAACCCACGTGAGACAGAGAGTCAACACAAGTACTCCCACCAGGACAAGGGGCCGATGGCCCTGAAAACTTATCCCTTAATCTCTTCAGGCTATCACGACGGCTGAAACGACTACGACCTGGCACACGAGGTAATGGAGGTTTGACATTGGCTTTAGAAGCGCCATATCCAACTGGGGCGACCTCGAGCAACCTTTGAGCATTTGATTTAACCCTTAATATCTTGTTGCAACAAGAGCAGGTCCTTGGACCTGAAGAATCAGAGATGACACTCTTGTTCAAAAGAAGGCTCTTCAGACCAGATTCATCAGTATCTACCCCTAGTTTCGCAACCAAAAACCGGCACGATTCTGAATTAGATTTGTTCCTCCTAGCCAACGACATGAGACAGTCTTCACACGTGGTATCAACATCAGCAAGTTTACAATGGTTGTGACAGTACACTAAAGATGATATCTCTTCTCTGTGATTGCAACATAATAAACTCCGATAGTATCCATGTTTATTTATCCCAAAAACATGCTCAATCCTAGAGCACAGCAGACATGGTGTTTGCAAATTGCAGTAATGCGCAAATTTTGTTAGCAAATATGACAGAGTAGCATCAACAAACAGCATAAATATGAGGAACCATTCACAAGCTGCAGAAGTTAAGAGAGTCATAAATCTCCGATGATTTCTCAGCCTAACAGATGAATTCCCCATGGCAGCCATTCTCAGGAGAACAAATCTCGATATCACATTAAGTTTCCAACTTGATCATACCAGTAACTAGAGCTCAGTAACACCGAAAATCCTGATTCCTCAAGCAAATATCAATCAATCCCTCGTGTGATGGTACACTGTAAGAAAACAAAAGCCGTCAGGACAACCCTAAATTCATTGTTCAAGTACAAGAATTGTACCCAATCGTCGTACACTAGCCAAAACATAAACTTAGGTATTAATATCTGGGGAAAAAAAAGGTTATATCCATGAACCAATATCAAAAAAGCATCAAAATTTGAATTGCAGGTTGATCAAAGAGTGATCATTAGAAGCGCAACCCTAAGTTTATCAGTTCAAAATGAATCAAGGGGGATCAAATACACGAGTAAATTTGCAGAGAACTAATGCAAACAATGTACATTGGGGCCATATCTAAATTAGCCCAAGAGGGCAGAAAGAAAGTGGAATTTGTGAGATAGATTCTTAAAGCAAAAAAAAAAAAAGGAAAGAAAAGAAAAAGAGAGAGAGAGTGAGAGAACTTTCCTTCAAGAAAGATTGTGCACTGTAACAACATAAAAATCGATTGTGAGATTAAACAAAGCAATAGAGGAGATAATTCAAACCTGGTTACGGTGGAATTGAGGATGGAGAAAGAGGAACAGGAGGAGGAGGTGATGGACATCAGATGATGGCGATCACCATCATTAGTCATGATTATGATTTATGAGGGGGTGCGTGGGGGGGAAAATAGGAAATTAAACGGATAAAAATGAAAAATGAATGAATGATCCCGCGAAAATTACATGGAGGTCCCTGCCCCGGAAATTGACTGACCGTTGAAACCAACTGAATTTCAGTTTCCCACTTTGTAGTCGCCTGCTTAAAACCTAGGCTCCGACAAGGGGAAACTAAGGGGGGGGGAAAAAAAAAACCCCCTCCATATTCTGTAAGTGTAAGCTTTTACTTTCTCCTTTTTAATTTTTTTTTATTGGAGAAAGGAGGCGTGGGCGGGGCCAATGGGTTTCCAAGTAAATTTACTGGGCACCTTTTGTTTTTCTTGGAAAAAAAAATGCGCAATATACAAAGGGTGCTCATAAAGTTGCAATCATGGACTACCAACATGTACGTCTATTTCTAGGTGGCATATTCGCGAAAAGTGAAATGATATATTTTTTAAATTTTTATTTGAAAGTATTAGTCAATTAGCTATAAGGTCCTCGTTACGATTTTTAAGTTCTTTGATTCCCATTTATCCATTGTAAAGTTTGGAATCTCCAAAATGCATATGAGTCTTTTCTTTTATTGTGATTATGAAGAGTTTTAAATGCACTGCTTTCTTATGATGAATTTTGCTGTTTAATAACAAGAGCAATTCAAAATATTCGGCATAAGAATATGTATAGGTGTATGGAAGACGAAAAAGGCTCTGGAAATTCAATCATCCGCTAGTTAATGCATCCACGTGATGAGAAAATAAGGATGTACGAATTTCTGCTTCTGCTGTGAATGCAACTGATTAAGTACAAATGTGAAATTATCTCGTATTAATGATAGGACAAACCGATAACTCATTCACACAAGTATGTATGTATCTATACATGTAAGTAAATTTATTGACTGCGACGATGATGTCTTCTTTTTCCTTCTCCTTCTTATAAAAAAGAGTATAGGTTCTAGTTCTACCAATAATTAAGGCCCAAGTGCTTCCTATGACAAAAGAGTAGGGATGGGCGGGGGACACCTCCCCCAACCCCCGCCCCGCTTCTCCCGTAGGGGCATCCGTGAGGTTAAAAAGTTTTATTATATAATTTCATTATAATTAAATTTGAGCAAATAATCAAGTACTAAAATATCCACGCATCATCAAATTATTATTCATTATAACTTTACAATTGAAACTCATAAAAATAATTAAACAAAGGTTATTTGAATACAATCTAATATGATAAAACAAATATAACTAAAATAATCAAGTTTTCACTTTTGATACAAATACAATCACTAAATTATTATTGTATTTTTTTTAAGAAAAAAATGTTATTGTAGTAAGTGTAGTTATGATTTAATATAAATATATTAATAAAATTAGTATAAATAATTAATAATTTTTAGTAATATACATGTATAATTAGTAGTATAATTAATAATATCATTATATATATAATTATGTACATATATATATTCAAATGGGTGGTGGGCGGGGGGGGGGGGGAAGTTCCCCCCCCCGGACGGGTGCTCGCGGTTGCTCGCCCCCGTTGCCATCCCTAGGTGCAATCACACTAGGCTGCAAACAAAGCAAATAGTTTGCGAGTCAATTCGGTCAAAATTCGATTCAAATTCGACTAACATTGAGGTCATTATTAATTAAGAAACTTAGTTAGTTTACTTGCAGGTTGTCTCAAATATAAATATAAATACAAACTAATATATATATTTATATAATTTTTATTTAATAATATAATTACATATATATTCTTAATATTTTTATTATTAATTAAGAAAAAATGACTACTTTGTTTTAATTAAAAAATAAATATAAAACCATTTTTTATTTTTTTAAGTTCGAGTGTTTTCGAACTCAAATTCAACTATACTTGAATTTGACAATAAATTCGAGCTCGAGTTTTATATTGAAAGTTTGTGGAGTTCAAGTTCGATTTCAAACTTGATAAAATTGAGTTGTATTTGACTTTGATTAGATAAAGATTTGATTCAACTCGACTCATTTACAGTCTTAACTCACGCATTCTCAATTAACAAGTACTACTCAATTTTTACCCTTAGCAGTAATGTGTGAAAAATTCCTAGTTCTGCTGCGGGTAAATTAAGTAGTAGTACATCTATTTGCAATAACTCAACAATTATGAGCAGCAGATAAGATGAATTAAGTATATCGGTTAGCAGTCAGCTCAACCTCAACCACTAACAAACCTATTAAGGCTCTCCATATAATCCCCAAGCCCAGATTCAAGGTACATTTTTCTTTCCTTTTTTTTTTTTTTGGGTTGTTGGGTGAATTATGAAATTGAATGAATAATAATGGAAGAAAGGAACGCAAGGCCAAATAGTACTTATGGAATGGCATTGCCTAGTCAATTGTTATTGCTTTGTCCCTTGGTTGCTACCACGTTTGTCGTCTTGAGAAAGAAGAGAAAGGGAAAATCACTGGGGCTTCCGTCCAATTGACCAAAGAGAGCATCTTAGAACTCTCCCATGTTTTTTTTTTTTTTTTTTTTGAAAAATTTAGAGAATACAATAGTGCATTTATCTGTCCTGAAAATTCACCTCCAAACCTATATAAAAGCTCAGAAAAAGAAAAAAAGAGAGAAAGAAGAAAAGGTGGAAAAAGGGAATCCCTTAGAAGAAGTTGGGGGAAGAGAAAATTACAAATGAATCATTTATGGCCTCGCGTAAAAGAAACAAGGGATAATTGCAGAAACCTCCCCTGAGGTTTCTAACATTTGCAATGACCTTCCCTATAGTTTGAAAAATTACACTGACCTCCCCTGAGGTTACTAATTCTTTACAAATTCAGTCTAAATGATTAAAATATTATTTTAGAGAGTGAAATTAGAATTTTGTACCAAATTTGTCCTTTGTGCTATATGCCCAATGAATGACAAAATACTACAAATCAATTAACAATTAATAAACTTTAAGAAGTATAGTTTATAGGCAAATAAACATTATCTATTTAAAATACCGGCTCTTTACGGGTATTTTACTTTCAAACATTTAATTTAATACAACTATTTACCCTCAAATACAGATTTGTATTTACTTTCAAATAATTTTTGTTAAATACAAAAACTACCAATCTCTCTTCCGTAAAAATATTAATATATCATTTTTTCAATATTAGTTATAACCATTTATGTATTTAACATAAATTAAATGATTCAGAATAAAATACCCATAAAGAGCCAATACTTTACTCATGTAATGGATGAAAGCCATAAAGAATTAATACTTTATGAATCATTTCTTTTTAAAAAAATATTTAATTTATATTAAATAAGTAGCTTATCAATTTTCTTTTTGCAAGAATATTACTGTAACACTTTTTAAATTTTACTTACAAACATTGATATATTATCATAAATTAAATGTTTGAAAGTAAAATATCCATAAAGAGCCGGCACTTTAAATGAATAATGCATATTTGCCCATAAAGAGCCGATAACTATTTAAATTACCGACTCTTTACGGGTATTTTACTTTCAAACATTTAATTTAATACAAATATTTACGCTCAAGTACATATTTGTATTTACTTTTAAATATTTAATTTTTATTAAATACAAAACTTACCTATCTCTCTTCCGTAAAAATATTAATATAACACTTTTTCAAATTTAGTTACAAACATTTATGTATTTAATATAAATTAAATGATTCAGAATAAAATGCACATAAAGAACGAATACTTTACTTATGTAATGGATGAAAGTCATAAAGAATTAATACTTTATGAGCCATTTTTTTTAATATTTAATTTATATTAAATAAATAACCTACCGATTTCCTTTTTGCAAGAATATTACTGTAACACTTTTGAAATTTTACTTACAAATATTGATATATTTATCATAAATTAAATGTTTGAAAGTAAAATACCCGTAAAGAGGCGGTACTTTAAATAAGTAATGCGTATTTGCCCATAAATTATACTCCTTAAAGTTTATTAATTGTTAATTGATTTATAATACGTTGTCATTCATTGGACATGTAGCACAAAGGGCAAATCTGGTACAAAATTCTAATTTCACTCCCTAAAACAATATTTTAATCGTTTGGACTAAATTTGCAAAGGATTAGTAACCTCAGGGGAGATTAGTGTAATTTTTCAAACTATAAGGGAGGTCAGTGCAAATGTTAGAAACCTAACATATTCTAGCATATTCTAGGGGGAAGGGGAAGGAATGACATTGGACATGTAGCACAAAGGGCAAATCTGGTACAAAATTCTAATTTCACTCCCTAAAACAATATTTTAATCGTTTGGACTAAATTTGCAAAGGATTAGTAACCTCAGGGGAGATTAGTGTAATTTTTCAAACTATAAGGGAGGTCAGTGCAAATGTTAGAAACCTAACATATTCTAGCATATTCTAGGGGGAAGGGGAAGGAATGACATTGGACATGTAGCACAAAGGGCAAATCTGGTACAAAATTCTAATTTCACTCCCTAAAACAATATTTTAATCGTTTGGACTAAATTTGCAAAGGATTAGTAACCTCAGGGGAGATTAGTGTAATTTTTCAAACTATAAGGGAGGTCAGTGCAAATGTTAGAAACCTAACATATTCTAGCATATTCTAGGGGGAAGGGGAAGGGGACTCGATGTGAGTAGAAATTCCATCGAAGAAGGCCAAAGAAGACCGTCACATATTGTGACAAGTTTTTGAGAGAGGCAGGGTTCGAATCCATAACCTCTTTGCATCACCAAACCTTAGAAGGTTTGGGATGACCACTGGACCAAAGGCCCAATGGCAAGAGGCCTCCTACTTGATCTAGTACTAATTACGTGATCACAGCTCGGCCTGGTCAGGTGTGGACTTTCTATGATGGGTCTGTGGGTTTCGTTCTTTTCCAACAGCCCAATACCTCACTCATGTTCCGTTAAAATCTACAACGGGTTTCTGATAAAATTTTCTTCCTTTCTTCTTTCTTGGGATTAATTTCCTCTTTTCGATTTATATTTAGTAAAGCGTTATTTATTCATGAAGGGTTTATCAAGATATTTAACTGTAGGTGACTGGGGATTGTGATTGTTTTACTCTTCATGTGCTTTGTAATGAATGAATAAATTCATACGATTGCTTTTCTTATGCCACTGTAGCTGAGGCAAAGGTGTGTGAGGAATTTCTCGGTGCAAATTGGGAAGGGACCAAATGCCAAAGACCTCAAAATCGATGGAATTAAGGACATCATAGCAGTTGCTTCCGGGAAAGGCGGTGTTGGCAAGTCCACTACAGCTGGTATTTCTCAAACGATTCCCTGTTGTCTCTGATGTAGTTTCTTGAATAGAAGGTTAGGTTTTGTACCAAGGTTTTGCTCCTTTCTCCGTCGAAGGGTAAACAACTGAAGTAAGTCTGCTTTTGACACCATACGGGATTAGTCATTTGAAGAAGTATGTAGTGGGTAGGATTTCAGGGTTAACAATCTAAAAATGATAAAAACAAATTTAACGTAGAATATTTTTGCGCTTACACCTCTGTATAGCGAATGTTGGCATGTTAGCTCTATATCTTAAGACCGATCATATAAATTGGAGATGCATATTGGAAACTCAAATGTGGCAAAACAGACAGCGATATTAGAAGCATTTCTGTGTATTTTGCCATCTGTTTTTAAATTCTTAGTTGTTACGGTTGCACTAACTGATTAAGTCATGTGCATGGTTACAAAATTGTGATGACAATGAAAACATGCCTTCTTCGCTTGTATTCCTTCCTACCAATTTGACCTCTTTTGAGATGTTTATGTTTGCTTGACCGTACAGTTAATTTAGCTGTTTCACTTGCCAAGAAGTGTCAACTTAAGGTTGGGTTGCTCGATGCTGATGTATATGGACCGTCAATTCCACTAATGATGAGACTTCGGGGAAAGCCTGAAGTTAGTATAGGTGATGCTTTGAATTCCTTGAAATTGTATGAACTGTCTTAATTTTTCCTAAGTGGAGGAACTATCTTATTTCAGTTAGGAACTATCTAAAAGAGGGTTTTGATACTAACTATCTAGATAAGTTAGGATACTTGTTTTATTTTTATTCTTCCGCCTGCTGATAATGTGTTCTAACTTCTCTTTGGTATGCTCTTTTAACAGATAAGAAAATGATTCCAATTGAAAACCATGGAGTGAAATGTATGTCAATGGGATCTCTGGTTGACGTTGGTGCAGCAATCGTTTGGAGGGGTCCAATGGTATCATGTTACACTGTTGTATCACTTGGCATTTTAGATTGGTTTGCTGTATCTCTTTTTTTTTTTGGGGGGGGGGGGTTAATTTTCTGTACTTTTCCTTTTTTAGTTTTTCCCCTTTGCAATTTTTGCTGCACTTTTTTTGGCTTCCTTGTGTTGTTCACTTATTCATCGGTTATATTCTGTTTTACGTTAATTGAAGCCTATTTATTTTCTTCCTCAGAATTGCTATTTATACTGGAGGTGAATTTCTGATTTCTTCTGCCTATCTGTTTACACTGATTTGGTTACAGTTACATCCTTTAAGAATCTTAATATTTTCATCAGTTTCATGCTTACTCTTGCAGGTTATGAAAGCTCTTGAACAGATGACAAGGGGAGTTAACTGGGGAACCTTGGATGTTCTTGTGGTTGATATGCCCCCTGGTACTGGTGATGCTCAGATATCTATTTCCCAGAGGCTGCAACTGTCAGGTACCTAACAAGTTTGTTGGAAGTTGGTCTTACATTTTTGTAGTATGCTGGAATAGCAAGAGATTGAAGGATGTCGAAATGAAGCCTGTTGCAGCTCAGGCTAGAATAATGCTGGGTTTGTAAGTTTTGAATAACATAATCTCAATTGCTGCTCGTTCATCTCAGTATAATAAAGCTTCCTTTTTGTAATACCCGTTGAGCAAATTTAACTTTCAAATACATATTTCCAGTATGCTGCTTTCTAGTCAAATATGTTAAGCTTCGTCAGCATTACTTCTTCCTTACCCAGTATGGATATTCTGGCAGTAACTATAGGCACTTAAAATGAGAACCATGCTCTTTCAGCATGTGTCTTTCAGGAGAACTTTTCCTTGCAAATTCCACTTTTCAGATGATGGAGCATTTGAAGTCAATTCTATGCTTAATCTGAATTCGATTTTTTTTTTTGGGGGGGGGGGGGTTTGCTTTGATAATTTTGAAATGTACCTGTATTCCTTGATAATCTGGAACTACTTTGTTCTGTTTGCAGGAGCAGTAATTGTTTCTACCCCTCAAGATGTTGCACTACTGGATGCTCGAAGAGGGGTGAAAATGTTCTCTCAAGTCAATGTACCAGTATGATCTTTTTTTGAGCAAATTGTATTCCCATAAAAGTTTTTATGCTTTGAGTGTGTTTACCATAGCACATAGGTTCACAATTGAATGCTATCTAAAGACCAGAGTCAATAACATTCCGGGTTCAACATACCTGGTTTTCAATCTTTTGATCTGTATGCTTGTGCATGTCAATTCTTGGTTGAGTTTTGGATCAGATTATTAGAGTTTTGCTTCTCCTCAGAAAACAGGGCATGATGGGAGAATTAACAAATACGGAAGGCCTAGTTTCTGCAATCAAAAGCTATTGGCACGCACACACACACACACACTATATTTCTTTTGTCCCAGATGCTGTTCACTGCTAACTGTTTAAAACCTTGTTCTCATCTCACAGATCCTTGGACTCTTGGAGAACATGAGCTATTTTAAATGTCCCAAATGCGGAGAACCTTCGGATATTTTTGGTAAGGGAGGGGCACGCAAAACAGCAGAGGAAATGGGTGTGCAGTTTCTGGGGGAGGTAATTGGATGTTTTTTGTGTCGCTTGTTAGGGTGTTCGGATAGTTTTGCAGGTCACCCTCCTATAAGCATGTTGTTTAATCGTTTCAGAATAATATAACAAGTGTTATCCCTGTTCTGTCTTGGGCACTGAAATTAGGACTTCCTGTACCTGTTGGATGAAAAATTGTTAGTTTGATCATATAGATAGCTGAACAATTTCCTCTGCCAATCATTGTTTATGGCCCAACCACCTAGTCTACAAGTAAAACACGCTCTGTCGTTACTTCAATTAGGTTCTTTTTGTGTTGGAGAGGTAGGTTAGAGTTTGATTCCCAGAATTTTTGTACTACTGGCTAGTTTGTTGAACCGTCGCCGTCTGATATATGGTAGCTGGTGATATCTTGACCTGCTTCTAATTCTCTCCGTCCTCTTTTTTTGGCACTAAATATCCTCCTCCTTTGCTTCTCCTTGAGGCTGCATATTTTTCATGAGATTCTTTTCAAACTACAAACATTTTGCTTAATTAATGCTCTAATCTGTTGTATTTCATCTTTATAGGTGCCGTTGGAGGTTGGCATCAGAAGCAGTTCTGATGAAGGTGTTCCCATTGTAGTATCAGACCCTGAATCTGCAGTCTCGCATGCGTACGGTGATGTGGCCGAGAAAGTTGCCGATATACTTGACGAATTGGCCAAGCAGCAGCAATTCCGACCAGAGATAGTACTGTAGAGGTCGCAGTGAGCTGCAGATGCAGCTCTGTTTAACATCAACTTTGTGCCTTTTGACAGCTTTTGAGATGGGAACATCGGGTGGTGGTGAAAGCCGGACTTGGGAATGGGCCGCTGCTGTTGTGGTTAATTATCTCAGGGAAGAAGAAACTGAAACATGTATAATCCCGTCAAAGGTGTGGTTGTATGCATTTGCTGCAGCTGCTTGAAAGTGCAGCTTATTATTGCAAGGTTGCTGCAAGTCTCGGGCGGGCGAAATGGTGATACGGCCTTTTAAGTTCTCTTTCGACTCATTTTGTTTGATCTTCTTCACGTCGTTTTGCTTAACATTTTTGTCAAATAAATAAATGAAAGACACGCTGCTGAGATGAATAGAACAGCAAGTACTACATAAATATGACTTGTCCCATTGAAATAGTCAGCCTTCCAAACTTTTCTCGGATAAACAAGAAGCTTTGGATGGATCAATTAGTACACATCTCTTTGACTCGTCCGGTCAGTTTAGCAGATCCCTCAAGAGTTAATACTAATAATATGCGCCTTTTTGCTTTATTTGAATAAATACTAATATAAAATTCAACAAAGGATGGTGAAAAGGAGTTTTAGGTTCGTTTCTTCAATTAAGAGAGAGCTTAAAATCACACCATCCGCCCTTCGTGACGCTTTGGCATTTTTTATTCAATCTTCTTAGCCAAGCCTATATATAATGTGATATTATTGACTAGGAATTAAAAAGAGGAAAGGCTAAAAGCTTAGGGAAAGGAGCGAAAAAAGGAATTTTTAGCAGGTTTTTTTTTTTTTTTTTTGGAGATCAAGAATGTGTGAATGAATGGGATTTGTATTGGGTTGTCAAATTATCAACTTGGGTTATATGGACCTTTCTTCCCACAACACCACCAGAAAAAAAAAAAAAAAAAAGGAAGAGAGAAGAAGAAGAAAGAAAAAATAAAATTTAAAAAAGAAATTAGACTAGTAAGGGGAGCTGGCTGCCGTCAGTTAATAGGGATAATTTTAGAAACCTCCCTTGAAGTTTTGAATAATTTCACTTAGTTTCCTTGAAATTTTAAAAATAACACATATCTCCCTTGAATTTATCATTTTGATAACAAAAACTATTCAATGGTCAAATTTTTGAATGAATAAACCAAGCTACTCTCGTGAAATTCATTTTACTTTGTTATAAAATTTGATTAAAAAAAATTAGAATATGCACAAAATTTCAAATCTGCTTTCAACACTTATCTCTATTATTTTAAACCTTTCATATACCTACGTCTCAAATTAGTACCACTATCATCATGACCACTGCTATCATCAATTTGTAAATTGTAAAATTTCAATCTAAGTTATAAAAGAAAATAGAATTAGCACTGTTTCTATTAAATATTTAATTGTGCGGTGCATTCCTATGCACAAGATTAGGAGCGTATTGCTTACTTGCATGAAAAATATTAATATATTAAGGTTATTATGATCATTTTATAGGATCAAGAGAGTTAAGTGTAATATTGAAAACTTTAAGGGCATTAGATGAAATTGTCAGAAACCTCGAGAGCGGTTTCTGAAATTATCCCTAGCTAATAATAATAAGAAGAGCGGCTGGGACTCGGCAGCGTCGCTGGCCTCTTTGCCATCTTCAACGTCACATCAGATTCAATTTGCCTTCCACTCCTGGCTGGGCCGCCTCCTCTGCAGTTTACTCAAACACTACTGTATCATAATCCAAGTTCCTGCTACTCCCCTTCCCTTCCCTTCCCTTGGGGTCTGTCTACTAGTAGTAGGAGTAGTAGTATTTTCTAGGATTGTGACTTGCTACTAGTAGTACTAAGGGAGCACTAACCGCTACTGGTAGTAGTAGTAAAATCCTGAATGCAGCTGCATCACGCCATATCCTTCAAATCCCCAATCCCTCCACCGCCTAATTATGCCCTCTCTCCTAGTTATCCAACCACCATTCACAACCCTACCTCCAATCATTTCTGTCACTCCAATAGAAATATCCCTTCTTCTTCTTCTTCTTATTATTATTACTGCTCAATCTTTAATTGCAGTGCCGGTATTCAAATCCCTCTTCCCAAGCAGCAGCCTCTTAATTCCCTCAGCTTCTGCAACAGTAATAATGCCTCCTCCTTCGACGTCGACGTCGACGACGATGAGCGGCTAAGGAATGTCGGAGTGATTAAGGAAATCGACGTCGCAACTCTAGGTAACCTCTGCGTTGACATTGTACTCAATGTTCCTCGATTGCCTCCCAAGCCTCTCGATCAACGTAAAGCTTACTTGGATGACGTATCAAAATCCCCTCCTGATAAGGTTCTTCTTATTATTAGTATTCTCTCTCTCTCTCTCTCTCTGTTTTCTTTTATGGGATGGGAAACTGGTTGTGGGACTTTTCTTTTATATATTTTTAAATTTGCTGTGTGGGTTTACGGACTCTATAACCTTTATTCTGTGCTTCTTTTTTTTCTTTTTTCAAATCAGGAGAGATAATTAGTACTTTTCGCGCCGATCTAAGTGTATTGTCGGCTCCTGTGCTGTATTGTATTGGTATTCTGCGAATTGTTGTGTAGCAGTTTATGCGTTTGCCTTTGATTTATGTAATTGAGGCTTGTCTTATCTGTCTGAATACAAGCAATTAACGGTTTTCGTTTGCAATTCATCAGCATGGTTTATCTTTTTCATTGCCCTGAAAAGGTCTCTTTTTAAAACTCTAGGCACTGGGGACTGCCTTTTAATTTTTTCATCGTAATGTAACTCCAGATAATAAAGCATTCCAAATTTCAGTTTGAAGGGGAAAAGTTTTAGTTGGAGTTTTGAACAATTCTGCTCTTGAGAAATTTGTGGACCTGCTTGTAGTTATTCTTTTCCAAAGCTCCAAAAGTAAGTGCATTTTAGAGTCTTTTGACTGTTCCATTTGTGTAAATTATGAGCTCCTCTTATGGTTTCAGTGCCCGTGCATTGATGAGACGTAATAATTCCTGTCACAGTTTTGTTCTTCTACTTGCACCCTATCATTTTTATAATTCTTGTAGCTTGTGTTTGCTTTACCTTATGTATGCTTTCTCCTCACAGAGAAACTGGGAAGCTGGTGGCAACTGTAATATGGTAATAGCAGCGGCAAGACTTGGTCTTAGCTGTGCTACAATTGGTCATGTTGGTGATGAAATCTATGGGCAATTCCTCCTGGATGTCCTTGAAGACGAGGGTATTAGTGTAGTTAGGATGGATGGAGAGAATGATGAAGTTAGCAGTTCAAGTGCAGCCTATGAAACACTTTTGTGCTGGGTGTTGGTGGACCCTATGCAAAGACATGGTTTTTGCAGGTATGACAATATCGTCATAATATATTCTTGGTTATGGGTTTACTAGCTGTGGTATTTTATTTATTTCTTTCATTTTTTCTCTCTGTTCTGTACATTTCAAAAAATGATGGGCAATACTTTTCCCTTTTTTTTGTTTGGGGGGGGGGGGGTTCAGTCGAGCAGATTTCAGCAATGAGCCTGCTTTTGTTTGGATGAAAAAACTATCCCCTGAAGCGAAGAAGGCTATTAAGCACTCAAAAATCCTTTTCTGCAATGGTTACGGCTTTGATGAGCTTGCCCCTAGCCTGCTTGTTTCTGCTTTGGAGTATGCTGTTGAAGTTGGAACCTCAGTCTTTTTTGACCCTGGACCACGAGGGAAGACGCTTCATTCAGGATCACCTGATGAACAAAGAGCACTTAGCAAGTTCTTAAGAATGAGTGATGTCCTTCTGTTAACTTCTGAGGAGGTTGGGCTGATAACTTATCCATTATCGCTGCAGCTATGTTTTCTGTGTCCATTTGTACAAAGTAGAATAATGTATTTTTGGTTTGCCTCTGCATTACTTGTCAAAGTATGAGGGAAATTTTGTGCAGCTTTCAGGAACCTCATCTTTGACTTCAAGCTTGTTCGTTCTTCTCCTGTTTATTTCTTGAGAGTCTATTTTTGTCTTGCATCATTTTTTAATTCAATGAGGTTTTTGTTTTTTTATTGTTAATAATATTGTTATTGTTACTACTTTTTTGTTTTTTGATTCAAGGGAGACTAAATCTTACTTTTTGGTCGAACTATTTGGTTATTACTCAGTGTTTAAGAAACTCTCAAGATCCCTAGGAAGCAAGCATTTTGACTAAGCAGTTTCTTAAAATGGATTCTTCAAGTTTTATGTATTCAGTTGGTAATCTTCGACATTTATTTTTGACTGCAGAACAGATATTAAGTTTGTGCTTGCTTGTCCTGTTTTCTTGTGTACTCTATTTATTTTTAAGTTTGTGCTTCAACATCTTAATAACTTCTAAGTTGCTGTGGGCATATTTTTCAATTCTGCTATTTCACCTTCCTTTTTTCCTTATGGTCTTTTTCCAATTCTAATGTTTTCCTTTTAATAGTGCTTTTGGATGTTATTCATGACAATAATGTGGCAGGCTGAATCATTGACTGGCATTGGGAACCCAGTTCTGGCAGGACAAGAGTTGCTTCGGAGAGGGACCCGCATGAAGTGGGTTATTATCAAAATGGGCGCAAAGGGTTCACTTTTAATTACAACATCTAGCATATCTTGTTCTCCTGCATTCAAGGTATCAATCTGTAGTCCTTCCTGTTATAGAGCATCTGGCGCGAATATTAATGAAACTTCATTTCATGACCTGATGGTAGGATGCTCTTAGAGGAAATGAGGGAAAAGGGGACATTCAACAACCTAGGAAGCTACAATATATGTTTTCTGATCTCTGAAATTATAAATAGAATTATAAATACCTTTTACCACATAGCTTTCCACCCTCCACTAGATCATTTTTGTAGGCAATAATAGAGGGGAGAAAAATTGGTAGTTTCACGATTGTAAGGCTAGTTATTTGATAAGAAACTGCCTCGCGAGACCTCTGTTTTGTTGTCTCTCTATTTTACTGACATCAGAATCTTCCTTAGTTGAGTGGAAATACCTGTTACATACTTAATGCTAAATTAACAACTTGGTCTTCAACAGGTAGATGTCATTGACACAGTGGGGTGCGGAGATAGTTTTGTGGCTGCAATAGCATTTGGTTTTATACATAAAATGCCTTTGGTCCATACGCTGATGATAGCAAATGCAGTGGGTGCTGCAACTGCAATGGGCTGTGGTGCTGGTAGGAATGTGGCAAGCCTGGAGCAAGTAATAGAACTAGTAAGGAGATCAGACCTCAACGAGGATGATAGTTTTTGGATGGATCTACTTGATAAAGACTTGGACGTAGAGCAGATAACACTGCTTTCAAATATGGTCATAAATGGGAGCAATGGTCGGCTGAGTCGTTTATGCTTGGAAAAAGTGGCGTTGGAAATGTTACAAAAGCTCGAACACGTCAGGTTAGAAAGGGTTGTACCATCGTGAAGAATGCAAACTATGCAGAAACAGCGAATTGATTCTTCTCGTGAGACCAGATCTTGATTGCTCCTCTTTTTCCAGGTCACAAAAGGGCGTAGGAGGTGGAGCTCCATATGGATATGTACTCTGTCAAATTTACATGGAGGAACTTGAATATCTTCTCAGCAGATGAAACTTGCTAACATTCCTTGTAATTGTTCCTATTTGGAATCTGGATTTGTGATTAAAAGGATTTCTTTTGGCTTAGGCATTGCAGTTTATTCAATTTCTTTCTGCAGTCTGATATGGATGTACCATGTTAGGAGCGGGGAAAGCAGCAGCAGCTAATGGTTTTTCCTTGAAAGATTTTGGTTCGTAGAACCGAGTATGTTTGCCTTTCAATTTGGCTCACTGTAATGAAAAGCTTCCCGTAGTGTATCGGGGCTGTAATCTCTACTATCTAGCAGTATACAATTTTGCCTGGATTAATAGTTGACTTTATTATTATTATTGTGGCGGTTCTCAAAAAACTGTGTATTTACCAGTTATAAAAGTTTGTTGGTGAAAAAATTTTACTAAGTTTTGTATGGCTTCGTGTTAATTACCACGAAGTACACATGTTTTTGAAGATTTTGGAGAAGACTTCAAGGTCTATATTCTGAACACTTGTAACGTTTATATAGTGCTTAAATTTGGGCATTGATTATGTGGTGTGATGCGTTTACTTGTTAAGTTGTCTAGTACACCTAGACAACCTTACAGCTCCCTGTGGGGCTGTGGTTAATATTTTGATACTGATCCCTGTTTTGCAAAGAGCAATTTTGTATCCTTCATGTTTGTAATTATGCATTTAATTGAGAGGGTACGATGAACCATGAACTTAGAGAGCACCTGGATTCAATCGAAAGATCGAAGGGGAAAGTAAAGCCGGTAAAGTTGGACTGGTTGGTTAGTGTGTTTTGGAACTAATTTACCGCTTCATGAGCGATGACATATAATCGTAACTTCATGACTCTATTGCATACGTCCTTAGGTTATCACTTTTATTTTAAGTCAATCAGTAAACCGAAGAATAAACTAAATTACTTGACATTGAAACTTGGCTCAATAAAAACTTGTTCAAATTTAGCTTGTGTACCAGGTAACCTAACTTACTTTTCAAATTTGGATTTTACAAGTGTTAAATTTGTAAACTTTTCTTCTTCTTCTTTTTTTTTCAAGTATGGTTTAAGAAAAAAACAATCAAATTCGATAATCTCAAGTTCATTGAAACTGACGAATATGCTTAGATATTAAAGTCAAATGCAAAATCCAAAATTCAGAGATAAAAAAATAATAATTTTTATTTTTATCGTAAATATAAACATCTTCTCTAATTGATTTTTATCTTCACAATTAGGGCTGCAATTGACTTGAACTGTTTGAGTTCGGTGTTCATCGAGCTCAATCTAAGCGTTAATATATACGAGTCGAACTGAAGTAGCCATTTGTTAGGTTCGCTTACTCAACAAGCCGTTTGAAAAACTTAAGTTGACGTGAAATTATAAAAATATCGCTACATTATTTAAAATTGAGTTGACTTCGAGCTTCGCACTAGCCATAATGTCGAACCAAACTCGAGCAGACATCTCGAACTGCTCGCAACCCAGAAATCGAGCCAAACTTGGGAGTCAGGAATGAATCAAGTTCGAATTTTTTTTTTTGAAATTAAGTCAAACTAGAGTTTTATTTTTTTGGTTCGACGAGTTCGAACTTGAATTCGAACTCAAACTCGCACATTAACAAGTCTAAGTCGACTTGATAAGTTCAAAATTTGACTTGATTCAATTCATTTGTAATCTTATTAATCCCAACTATCTTTTTATATCACGTGACAAAAAAAAAAAAAGGAAAAAACTCCCGTTATTTCAAAAATTGTTTTAAATCATCCCCGATCCAAACATGCTGCTAAGTAGTAGTATTATTTTTCATTAATTTATTAACGAGGAAAGAAAAGAAAAAGAAAAACAGGGCAAAGTGGAAAGCGGGAGGGGCAATAGAGGGCAAGTACAAATAGAAAAGAGCAAGGAAAAGAGGAGGATGACCTAAATACCCCCACCTGGGAGAAGAGGAGCGGACCCCAAAGGCCAAAGCCAGTCTCTATGTGCTGGAATCCAAACTGAAGACGTCTCCGAGACCGATGAGAGAGATGATCCATATCGTTTGGTGCTTCTGCCCTTTTGCCCCTCCTCTTCTATTAATTTTATATTTTCAGTTCTTCCCCTTCCTTGCCCTCCCCTTTTCCAGGTATTTTCTTTTCTCTCCTCTCCCGTGTGTCTATCGATCGATGTCCTATATTTTTCTATCGACCGCCCGCCCGCCAAAAATCAAATCTTTACTGCCCTTTATGGGCTCCTTATCCTCCCTCCATAATTCTGATCTTTGTTCATCTACATTTATGTGGATTATCTGGCTTTTTTACTTTCTAATTTTGAAATTCTGAATTTTATTTTTTTTAATTTAATTTTCTCCCTCATTTTTGTAGGTTAGAATTCGGGTTCTGAAGCTGTAAATTTGGGGGCTACCTGCTTAATTAAAGATCAGGGTTTTGTATCGTCTGCCTTTCACTTTATGGTAAGGTGTTCTCCCCTATCTCTTTCTTTATTTTTTGCATTTATTGTTTTCCTAGAATTGCAAAGCCATAGTTTGTTTCACGAGGGGATTTGGGATTTCTTTTCTTTTTCTTTTTTTTTTTAAATTTTGTTATTACTTTTAAATGTAGTTAGGATGACCGATCATTTTCGTCATGTCGTTTTATTTCAACTGGGTTCTTCAAGTATAATTATTCTGAACTAAAACATGGGTTGGTTGATTACGTTTTTATTCCCATGCCTTTTCGACTATCCTTATTATTATATTGTTTGTTGTAGTACTTCTCGATGTTGCTGAATGGAGTGCTGCTCGAGCTTTACCTGAGAATGATTGGTTTTGAGGAGTGGATTTTTGAGGATAGACTTTGAGTTAAAGTTTACGCCTTTAATCTGACAGGGAGTGTCATTTCTCACATTTTTCTTGTTATTTTTTTAGTTTTAATGGCGAACCACGATGTGATTATTGGGCACACAAGGGATACATCTGTGGTTCAGGGCTCACATTTTGGATTAGGATTATTGCATGGTCGAGATTCAATATTGGATCGGGTGCAGACTTTAGAATCAGGACAGATTCATGAGCATGTTAGAGATTTCGAATCAACCACTGCTGATGACTCAGATTTAGCAAATGCCACCACTGATCATGATACTTTGCCTGCTGAGGTCCATGACCATGAATTGGCTAACCAGTGTAGCCAAGGTCATACTGATGAACATTCTAATGGATATGATGTAGGTAACCAGCATGAGAATAGATTTCCTCAGAGTGGAGAGAGTGATTCAACTCCAAGTCAAGATGATGTACTTAATGCAGATCAAGATGATAGTGGCTTTGAGAACCATGGTCGACAGCTTGCTCTAACTCCTCGTGACAGTGGAATTGGTTTGCCAGGGAGTCAGGAATTGACTGTTGTAGAGCCCCATGACATTGATGAAAACTTAGAGCTCATTGTCGACCAGAATCATGGTATGGGAATTTTATCTGTTTCAGAGGCGCCTGTCCAGCCTTCTCAGGTCCTTGTTACATCCCCTATTCTGCAGTCTCGAACACTAGTTGTTGCTCCAACCCTTGAATTGACTGTTGGGCAAGAATTTCCAGATGTCCAAAGTTGTCGTCGGGCTCTGAGGGACATAGCAATTGCTCTTCACTTTGAAATCCAGACAGTTAAGTCTGATAAGACTCGTTTCACTGCAAAATGTGCTAGTGAAGGATGTCCTTGGCGCATTCATGCTGCAAAGCTCCCTGGTGTTCCTACATTTACGATAAGGACCATCCACAAAGAACATACATGTGGTGGTATTGCTCATCTTGGTCATCAACAAGCCTCAGTGCAGTGGGTTGCAACCTCCGTGGAACAACATCTCAGGGAAAATCCTCAATGCAAGCCAAAAGAGATTCTGGAAGAGATCCACCGTGTTCATGGGATAACCTTATCGTACAAGCAAGCATGGAGAGGGAAGGAAAGGATCATGGCTACTCTTCGTGGTTCATTCGAAGAAGACTTTCGCCTTCTTCCACAATATTGTGAGCAAATTAGGCGGACAAATCCAGGGAGCATTGCATCTGTTTATGTCAATCTAGTGGATAATTCTTTCCAGCGCTTATTTATTTCTTTCCAAGCATCTATTTATGGGTTTCTGAATGCATGTCGCCCACTGATTGGGCTTGATCGGACTGTTCTAAAGAGCAAATACCTAGGGACTATGCTCTTTGCAACAAGCTTTGATGGAGATGGTGCACTATTTCCTTTAGCATTTGGTGTTGTTGATGAGGAAAATGATGATAACTGGATGTGGTTCCTTGCAGAGCTGCATAATCTTCTGGAAACTAACACAGAGAACATGCCAAGGTTGACAATATTATCTGATAGACAGAAAAGTATTGCTGATGCTGTAGATGCAAATTTCCCCACTGCTTTCCATGGTTTCTGTCTGCGTCATCTCAGTGAGAGTTTCAGGAAGGAATTCAACAATACTGTGCTTGTCAACCTTTTGTGGGAAGCTGCAAATGCTCTCACGTTAGTTGAGTTTGAGAACAGGATTAATGATATAGAAGAGATATCGCAGGAAGCTGGTTATTGGATACAGCGAGTTCCACCTCGCTTGTGGGCCACTGCACATTTTGAGGGAACACGTTTTGGGCATCTGACAGCCAACATAGCTGAATCATTAAATTCCTGGATACTTGAAGCCTCTGCACTTCCCCTGATTCAGATGATGGAGTGCGTCCGTCGGCAATTGATGACTTGGTTCAATGAAAGACGTGAAGCTAGTATGGAATGGACATCTGTACTTGTTCCCTCTGCTGAAAGGCGCGTCTCAGAGGCTATTGAAAGGGCACGTACCTACCAGGTTCTCCGAGCCAATGAGGCTGAATTTGAGGTTATTTCTCACGAGGGGACAAACATTGTGGATATCAGAAACCGTTGTTGCATGTGCCGAGGATGGCAGCTATATGGCCTGCCCTGTGCTCATGCTGTAGCGGCTCTTCTTTCTTGCAGGCAGAATGTTCATCGATTTACTGAGAGTTGCTTCACAATAGCAACATATCGCAAAGCCTATTCTCAAACCATACACCCTATTCCCGATAGAACCCTGTGGAAGGAGATGACAGATAATACTCAAACTGAAGGTAGTTGTTTGGATATGGTTGTAAACCCCCCCAAGTCCTTTCGACCCCCTGCACAGCCTAGGAAAAGAAGAGCTCGTGCAGAAGATCGGGGTCATGTGAAGCGGGTGGTTCATTGCAGCCGCTGTAACCAGACTGGACATTTTAGAACAACCTGTGCAGCACCCATATAAATTTCAACTATACAGTTTGGTTATTTCTTAGTGATGTAAAGAGTTCTGATAGACTGATAGTCATGTAAACAATTTCTGATTGTTAGTTTAGCTAT